AACCTCTCAAGGCGGGAAAAGACAAACGGAAGTTTGAGAACGAAGTTGTTTTCAAATTGGTCAAACTTGTTTATTAGCGGAGTTGCTACAATGTGCGTTTGAAAGACCGACTGCCATGATTACTGAAGGAAAAGAAATCCAGACTTTTCTCTTGTTCCAATCGGTTTAACCCGTTATTAGGGGAAATCCTATTGTCGGGTAATAATAAAATGAAGACTGGAAATTGGTTTAAGAAAACCGAGTTAGAAAAAAGTTAAATGTCGGCGAAATGAAAGGAAGTGCGCGAGGGGCTTCTGATTTACCCTTTGAAGGGAAGCCTTTGGTCAGCCGGTCGACATAACAATGTTTAATTTAATCTCGTAAAAATCTGTTGTGAGCTAGATTAGAGTAAAGCTAATTGATTTTTAAGATTATTTTGAAAGTAGTAGCTATATTTAAAAAGAACTGGTAAATATACATGGTGACAAAAAAGTCTGGAAACGGCTTGATATATTTTTGACTAAATTCGTTAGAAAAGTCAAACCTTTCACATAAACTTTTAAGTATGAAAACTACTTTTTGCAAGCATTACCATTATTTTACCTTCACCAAGGGATGGCCCATGAGGAGTAGGTACATAATCTTCAATGTAAGCATAGGTTGATATGCACACCATTTTAAAGGTCTAGTCAAGTGGAGTTCATTGTCGGAAACCACGTCAAAAAAGGTACATCCGTTACAAAATGGCGGCATTTCAAAGTTCTTGCGGAATGTACCTGCACAGGCCTTATACTCATAGTCAAAATTAGCCGGGAAATATGAAACCCGGTTAAATTAATTTTGAAGATTGAATAAACTTAGTCTATGAGCTAGTTGACTTTAAAATACAATTTCAGCTCTCAAGATAATGTTTAATACGAGTATTTACCAATACTAAGGCCTGTAAAGGTATATTCCACAAGCACTTTGAACAGCCGCCATCTTGTAACGGATGAACCTTTTGAGACGCGGTTTCTGATAATGAACTCCACTTGACCAGACCTTTAAAATGATGTGCATATCAACCTATGCTTACATTAAAGATTATGTACCAACTCCTCATGGGTCATCCCCTGGTAGAGGTAAAAACATGAAAATACTTGGTAAAAAGTATTTTTTATACATGTAAGTTGATGTGAAAGGTTTGACTTTTCTACCGTATTTAGTTAAAAAGATATTAAGCCGTTTCCAGACTTTTTTGTCACCCTGTATACTGAGAGATAGGTTGATTTGTAAGTTTCCCATCTAAAATCTTGAAAGACAAATGTTAATTAAATTAAATCAACAAAAGTCCGTAATTTTTTTATTAAAGTACCAAAAAGTCAACGATAAATTCACTATTATAACAATCACACGAATTAAACCTTTCAAATATAATGTACGTCTTTCACTTTTAGCCTTGAGTTAGTTTAAAATTTTTAAAGGGAACGATCAGAGCACTGTTTTTAATTTGGCTTTTATTTCAAGCATTAGTACTTTTGACAGCTGCACTAAAAGACCGAAAGAAAAACTTTTTGAATTAAAAAGGATGAATGTTAACATACGCCAAACGAATGCATACGCATTGCACCCTTTTAAACTCCTTTAACCAAAAACTCTTTTGTGGATGTAAGGCTTACCCTTGCCTGAGTGCATCAGCACTTAGCGTACAACGGGATACATTCATCCGATGCAAGAATCGAGTAAAAACTCGAACTTTAATCCCTAAAGATCAACTCGTTTGTAAATGAGTGGTGAAGGTCTTAAACAGTTTCAAAATGTGTGATTTATTTTCACATTGTCTTGTATACAATATGTTTTGCCGATAATGTCTACGTTGGAAAAACTATTTAAGTTTTTTCTTAGAAGTTGTTACATACCGCATTTTAAAAGGGGTAAAAACTATATTAAATCTCTGATTAGCTGTAACTTGTTAAATAACAGAAGTAGAATATTTTCAATAAAAGTATAATACAGAATAATTTTTGAAATTATAAATGATGGGGCGAAAATTACCTTAGTTTCATTATTATTTTTAACATGTAGGCCTACATATTTTCTATTTAAAATACATCTCATCTAAAAAATACTTCCCCCGCTTTATAGCCCAAAAAATATAATTTTCATATGTCAGGCGAATTTCCGAGAAGTATAAATTCAGTTTAAAAGATTCACATCGACCTTTTTATATAACTAAATAAAGAGGTGATAGAAAAAGCAAAGTGGCCTTCGCTGCATTTTTAAGCCCAGTTAACAGATAGGAGGAAGTAGGTCGCTGCAACGGGGAGATAAGAGATGCATCTGGGACACAACACTGATATCAACATTATACTCGTTTTCTAGGTTCATTGCATTGTAAGTTTTTTCCGTCGGAGCTACATGAAAAAAATAACCATGCGAGTAACTGAAATATTTTTATTCCAGGAACAATTTTTTTAATTTGAAAGACCACACAAAAATATAGTTTATACAGTTACATAATTATTATATAAGTTACCAACTGTATAAACAAAAATTAATTGAGGATTGTACTGTATACTGAATTTAACAATCGTTACGGGTATTTGTTTGTTTATGATTTATTGTTTGTTATCTGATTATGAGCAATTCTATCTTTGAGGATTAAAAGTATTGTTTACGTGTAAATTTAACAACTTCTTTACGAAAATCTCATACTTTATTTGCATAACTTTATCGTGTTGTTTTTATAATAAAATGGAAATGAGATAATAATTTATTTTTACATCTTCACAATTTTACAACTTACATTTTTTTTATTTAAGCATTTAATGATAACACAGTTATGTACATAGATATAGTTATCATTAGTTCTATTTTATTGAATAGATGTAAACAAATTTAAAACTTTATAAGAATAACGTGACAAATAAACGGTATCAGCAATCTGACACATACTTTCTCCGATAAGCTTGTAAACAACCTTTATCATAGGTAAGCGGTGGGAGTAATTATGACATTCTATAGGTACAAATCACAAAAGTTGCAATAGCTTTTGAACAGTAATTGTTACAGCAATGGGGGGTTGCAATTTTCCGTTACAGTATGGGGTTTTATGGGAAAATCACCATTAAAATAAAAAATAAAAAAATAAAATAAAAACACCTGGAGATATAATGGATTAGTACCTACGTACCAGAAAGTAAAAGGTAATCATGGCTTATGTATTTTAGAGAGGAAAGTTTTCAAGTTCAAGGTCATTCCACCTTATCAAGTACTTGATGTACTCATAAAGGTTATCAAACTAAAAAAAAAGTAGAAACTAAAATTGACACTGATCAAGCGTATTTTACTTGTTTAGAGATCGATAGTGGTACTTTTTTTTAATTTGAAACTATTTAAGCACTAATGATGTAGTTTGACAAATATCAAATTCCATGCCCTGTATGCAACTTCTAGCTCTCATTCATATTTCCAGGAGCAATATTTCTAAAATTATTTCTGAGTTTTCAAAATATTAGCTTCAATAATAACTTGAAATGAAAAATTAACATAAAAATAAGTTTGATGGCAGTAGACCACCATACTTTACAACGTATTCCCTTACTATATCCACCCGTTTGTTTCTCGTCACAAACTTAAAAAAGTGAATAAGAAAAAACAACCAATAAAATGCAACGTTTGCATAGAGAGAATATAAACCAATATATTGGTGTTTAATTAAGCTTTGAAACTATGGGCAGCCGACCGGTGCGAAAATTGAAATAGTGTATTGATATTTCGCTAGTTTTGTGTATACAGAGGGACTATGTTTAAGCTCATACATAATAAAGGCCAATTTCCGACCCGCACAGTGAGGAAAACGCGCAATTGATCTAGCCTAGACCAGCGCGTGCGGGCGGGCGTTGCTATGATAAAATAGTGATTACTCTACTGTAATTGAAAAGTCCCTATTGTTTAAGCTGGGCCTAGCTCGTTTTAAATTGGAAAACTATATCGAATGTTTGACTGATCAAAGTGCAATATTCCGTCGCATATTATTAGTTTCAAAGCGTTGTTTTTTACTATGGGTGAAATAAAAATCGTTGAAATATATTTTATAGTTTTCTCTGTTCTGTTGTAATTAAATGTTGTAAACAATTCCACGCCATATTTTGTAATTTATAAACGTATGTAATTTCACATTTGTAAGCGCAAACATATGTGTAAACTCCACCTTTACTCATGTAATCTTTACTCTCTATCTTTACTTCCACTATCTGTTCTTCTGTCCTCTAATCATTAATCCTCCATCCTCTTCTTTTACTCCTAACACCTGATCACCTAATCTACACACTACACTCTCCTATCACTTACTCTCGTCTGTATTCTACTCTTGTACATTATTAATGTACAACCTCTTCTTCCGAACAATACTATATACTATGTCTGATCTCTAATACTTCCTACCCTTTTTTATCACCACGGTCTTACACGCAGTTCAACATTCACGCCATACATACTGTTGGTGTACTGTGTGGTTTATCTACTACTCCTGCCACTACTATTTCACCCTTTACTACTTAGCCTACTCCCCTTAACTCTGTACTACTCCACCTCTACTTTATCCACATGTTTTCTTTAACTCACAAACACCCTCTATTTCACCTATTATTCTCTACCTCCCCAGTGTGCCAGTTACTATTTCTCCTCTACTACTACTCTATTCCATTCTATAAAACTTATCCACATGTTCTTTTCAACTCACAAACACCTACAATCTAGCTATTTTTATTACTCGTCATTCACTACTGTATACTAGTATACTTAATAGCTCCCTACTTTCCACTACTACCCCTACTCCCTATCCTCTATAATCTAATTCTCACTATTGTCCTAGGAGATGGGGGTGTTTTAGCCAGTCGTTTGAAGAAATTGAGCACCTCAGTGTGCGTAAATGAATTTTTACCTTCTTCCCAGGAAAAATGTATGCACCCTGTAATTTAACCTATTACCTTGACTATGTTACACATGTTCTTTGCTACTTTCTCTACTACTCCACCTACCTGTATGCAATCTCGTGTGTTGCTGTACGTGGCTGAGTTGTTTGAACCGTCTTTCGCAGTAGGAACACTTGTATGGTTTCTCCCCCGTGTGTACCCTGATGTGCTGCACCAGCTGATGGTTGCTGCTGAAGCTCTTCAGACACTGCTGACACTGGTGTGGCTTGTTTACCTCCGGAGCCCGGCCTTGGAACTCTCTCATCTGCATGGCTGACTTGTGCATGAAGATCTGCGCCAGTAGGGTGTCATCGGGCATCTTGTTGAGGATCTGCAACACCCGGGGGGTTAGACCATGCAGGAGGTCAGTGGAGGAGATACCACACGATGTTGGAGTGTAACATTATACCAACATATAACTTCTAACCTGAAATGAATGTGAAGAGATGCTATATTGACAATGAAATGTGAAAGTAATATTAGTAGTTTCTCTCAGTTAGTGGAGGCGTACACTATTATCGACAGTCTAAAAGAATACAAATATTGATTATAACTTTTTCATACTTTTCATGAACTATGTTTTATGATAAACCATTGAAAAAAGCACATTCAGTAAAATTTTACTTTTGGGATTTACATAAGATTTCTTAGGCTTATTAATGTGTATGGTTGGATGTCAGTTAATAATATACTTAATGTAATTCTAAGACAATGGCAACAATTGTATGCTTTGTTTCAAGCAAAGAATATACAACATCCATGCAAGAACCAAGGTATTCAAACAAACTGTAAGTCACAATAAACATTCGGAATGATTCAAACAAAATGCTAGGAATTAATGAAATCATCACATTCTATCTAGAATCAACAACACATTTGACATTTAACTTAAACAAAACTATTGTTATTTAATACTATTTAATTGATCCCTTGTAACAAATATGTAATTTAGAGACCTTTTTATGACAACGAATTAATTCTACGTGAAAATACACATGAAAATGCTACCAAGACAAAAACGAAAAACGAGAGATACAAAAATTAATAGTTGATGAGATATTAATTCGCGAAACATAAGCGAAAGACATCTTGATTATTTCAAAAAGGTAATTGCATAAAGATTGAGAGAGAATGAGGAAATCAAAAGTCGCAATAATCAAGGCGTTAAACAAACTCAACACCTTGGGGGGGGGGACACTCGAAAAAATGAGAAAATGCGACAAAACCCAATAACCTTCCCGCCCGGACGGCACTCGGAATAAATAATGTGTTAATGTTTAATTTATCGCGATGGAAAAGGTGCCCGCTTTTTATTAAATGAGCGTTTTAATGCAAGGGATGAAGAAACGAATTATGACCCGTTTCTCTGGTCTCGAGAAAAATTGTCTTAATAATTAGCAATTTTAACACCTAGGATGGTCGTAAATGTTTTATAGACTTTTTTGGAAGATAACAAAATATATATTGTAATTTACTTATCAATAAATAGGAAACATTAGACGACCGTCGGAAACGCTACAAATCCACGCCAATTCATAAAGGTGTTTCGTGACGGCTTCGTATTTGTAATTAAAAACTAAGAAAATTATTATCAGTTGCGTGACTTTTAATTAATATCTTTTCTTTAATTGAAAGAGCCGTCTGGGAAAAGACAGCTGAAGGTGTTGATTAACCCTTCTGATTTTTGTGTGCATCGAATCATTTTTACTTTGGTTAAATTTAGTTATCGCGGGAATTATAAATTACATAATTTGGAAATGTTTGAAAGATAACTATATAAAAATACTAAAGACAAAACTAATTTGAAGAAAAAAATAAATACAAATTTATTTAATGAGAGTCAAAAGTTAAACCGTCTCGAGCCAGTTAGGCGTAAACAATCAAATAAACAAAATCGTTCGTTGAGAACGAAACAAATAGAAACTTTTCATTTAAAAGGAATCTTCTGTTTTATGAAATTATAAATTCACCTTCCAATTAAAAATTTATCTATTCTGAAAATTAAGTTACAGAAAGACTTCTCTCAGAATTGCCGTTGTTTTGTACAATTGTTAGTTTGTTTTGCACGCTTCGGTAGCTTTTAAAAGTTTCTAATAAAATAACCATTATTCCCAAACATTTTTAGTAAGATTATTTTGAACATCCCAATCTTTGTACCAAAATTGTCGTTGGTTTTTAATCGTTTGAAATAATTTACCACTGTCGTATCCAACCAATGTTAAAATTCTAAAAAAAACTGTATGTTACGAATTCTTTCTTACGAGGCTAAGTATTTAAGAGTTAAATCCGCTGTAATTTTAGATGCAGTTTTACCGTAAATTGATGACGACCTCGTGTTCTTGGTCTTGGGAGGGGGGGGGGGGGTAAGGGGGGTCACGATTTTTGTGTCGCCGACGACATTTTCTTATCTCTTGTATTTACGTGCTAGCTCGTGCCTAATTATTTTCACAGCCGGCGAACCCTAATGAAGATCGGCACGAGGAGAAGCAGGTTCTGTTTCCCGTTATAACCGTAACCGATCATCGCTCTTACCACAATACGAGTAGAGAAAAGGCAGCGTTTATTGTTTAGTTGTCAGTTACGAAATTGGTAAATTCAGACCATGACAATGACCGAGAAGCACGAAGAGTATCAAATTATGTTGGGTGTGTAGATTTTTCCTTTTTGGGTGGAAGATTGCAATGATTTTCATTTTGACTGTAAACTTAAAAAACTATTAGTATATATTGTTAACGTGCACTATGAAAGCTGCTTAGGGACCAACTACAAATCACGGGGTCAAATGGGAATGGGGCTTTGCCTGTCCCAAGTGTGAAACGGTAACTACTAATGTAATAGCAAAATTGGTGTTTTTCTATTCACCGCCGTAAAGAAGTAAGTGCGGGCTTAGTTGTCTAAACACTACATCATTAAATAGATGCAAGTCAATTACCTTTTTTTCAAAACATTGAAACTACTAACTAAAACTAACAACCTTAGGTTCCTGTAGAGTTTGCTATGTGTTCGGAGTAGCTAAAAATAGCTTAAATAACTCGGAATTTAGATTTGAAAAAACCTTGCAAAAAAATAGTCTTACATGTGTTTTGATAATTAAAATTAATTATACTACTTTAACTTGATTTTTACTATGTAATCTTTGGTTTCAACAAAATACCAATCTGACTTTTAAATCTGTTTGGGAAGCAACCGTTTCTCTTTGTAAGTTTTTGCGAGCTCAGGTTTCACGAGGCCGCAAAAAAGGGACGAATGAAGTGATCAGAGGATAAAAAACCTTCCTAAGGGTGTGATTAGGGATCGCTCCTTCTTAATATCACGCGTTTTTCCAACAGACAAATGGAAATAGGGCGATAATTTGACAAATCTGTGAAGAACCTCGCGAGATTATCTTGATATTTTTGCTTTTAGCATGGTACAGCTATACTCTCTCCCCTAGTTGTTTGTGCTTTATTTTTCACCGAATAAATATTAATTAAATCATGTTAAATAGTTCCCTACCATTCTAATGTAATATTTTTCAACTGTGTTATGTTTTTACGGCTGTATGCATCCTAGGTATTTTTACAACTTATAGTCATATACTCTCGAATTTTGCCACTTCTTACTCGTACGTGTAAGACGAATTTGTGAATTGAAAATTCGTTTTGGGTTGAGCAGCAGGTTCTTTTGAATTATCTTGTGCGTGTCCAAATAAGCCTTTTAGTGTGCGAGTGTATAGGCCTAAAGCAAATGTATTGTTACAGTACAAGAAGACATAGTCCTAGGATAACAAGTAGTGGATAAGCAATTGCTCCCTTAGTTCTGAAATTACACCGACTAACCCGACTCATACATCTGAGTTTTAAGGACATTGAAATGAGTCTAACAATATAATTGGGTAATGTAAATTACTTCAACCACACTCAAGATACTTCCGATCACACCAATCCCCCTCGCACTTCCGCAGCCGTAACACCCAGGAATTATTGACTAGAAGAGATTCGATCCGAGAGGCGGTTGGTACTTCCGGCAATTTCGTAGGCGTAGTGATCGAACCTAACATATGCAATGCTCGTCCGCCACCTGCTACGGTTCGACACTCGATAAAAAAATCAACCCTTTCGTAGCACAATAACCGAAGGCCTAATGGATCGGGAAATGCCGTTACCCTTTCTTACCTTTTTAAATTGGGTTAGGGCTTTATGTTTAAGAAAATTAGGAAAGTAGTTGGAAGCAATTTGGGGCGAAATGGTGGGAAAAGTAGGGTTGGGAGAAATCAATGTAGCCAAAATTATGTGTTTAAATTAATTATAGTTGTTAGTTAATTAACGTAAAGAGATTTCTTTTTTCACAATACCATTTAACGTTGCAGCAATTAATTTGTTGCACTAATGGGAATAAAATATGTGAAATATTAAAGTTTTAAATACGTATGGTCACCATGTCAAAGTAAAGTATTAATTGTGATGTATGTATAAAAAAATTGTGACTCCAAGAAATTTTGGAGCGAATATAATACGTACAAACTGTGAATACGGTAAACTTTCCTATCATAACATTACATTATTAACGCAAATGTCTCAAAAGCCTTTTAAAATCAATGAAATGTTGTTTGTTAAACCCCACATGGTATTTTCAAATTTTACCAGTTTAAATCTAATCTTAGGGTGACTTTTATGATGCTTACAGACATAACATAAAATAGCTACTTCCTTATAGGGAAATTCGCTAACAACAGAGTGAACACAGATACATATTATAAATGTCCAGAGTGAAACAAAGTGTATACAAGCTTGCCTTTTTCGTTTGAGATAATTTTAAAACTAATATACGAAAGGATTTTCGGCATCCAATAAAGATTTCTTCATAAGGTAGGTACTGTTGTTTGAAGTCCCCATTTTTTCTTTGGAACCCTCAGAATCATTGGGTAATCTATTGAACTTTACAACACATCAACCAAATGTAAAATATTTACACTTTTAATGTTTGCACAGTGTATGTTCAAATGCCAACACTACTTCTCTGCAGCAAATTAAATCACAATTGCAGGACCTATTATCCTTATTGAATATGAACATTTTGGGACTCTTTAACAGAAGTTGTTGGTCTCAAGAGTAAAATGGAATCATAATTGCAGGACCATATATTCTTATTGAATATGGAACTTCAGAACTCTTTTACAGAAGTTGTTGGTTTCAAGACGCTCTGCACCGTCCACTGTCCAGTCCACGGGCCGGTCCCGTGATGCAAATATCAAGTTCTTTGTGCGTACAGAGCCTCACAGCCGGTCATGAGGGGGGGGGGGGGGGGGTACAGATTGCATATGCTGTGGGAGGTGGGGTAAAACAAGTATTC